ACTTAATGTGCTCAAATTGTGGGAACTGGATAGTTCCCATCCCAGAATTCTGAAAAAAACTGGCACATTAAATTACAGGTCTGGTAGTAAGGATTTGAAATAAACCTACCAAGTTTGGGGTCATATTGTATAACTGGAGCTAATATAGTACTTACACTTTAAAAGGGAAAAACATGATCTAGAAAACTACAGGCCAGTTAATTTGTCCTCAATGGCATATACAGCTTTAGAACAAAAATCCTAAATACTTTTAATATCAAAGTTGATAAATTTATGATTGAGATTATATGATATGGTTGCCTGTGACAGCAGAGACTTTATGGCATAGCACATCTCTTCTAGTCCTATGTCCTATTTTCCCATGTTTTGAAGGCTTTTTGGTGGGAAGGAACCAGGGGTCAGAATATATTTCATGCATACAGAAATCCATGAGCCTTACTGGTGAGGCATATACAAAGGAAAATTTATTCCTGAAACAGAATATGAAACTTAATGGGATAAAATATAAAAAAGCACCAGTCACTTAACACCTCCCCCCCAACCAAAGTAGGCTCTTTTTAAGCTTGTGTAGCCTGGACCACATCTAAAAACAGAAAGTTCTTTTAAGTCAGATATATTTTCCTCAAAGCATCTCTTTCAATTTATTGAATCAACAGAAAAAATGAAATGCTCTTAAATTTATGTTAAAAGTTAACACAAAAATAAGAGTAAACTACAACTAAAATTAAACGATATGCATTTGTCACATATTCCAATAAAACAAAAACCTATTTCCAAATAGAGAGAAAGAAACTGAATAGTAAAATAGCAATCATCTCAACAAGGAAAGTAGTACATCCCTTGCAAAAGACCTTAATGAAAACAGAACTCTGCAAATTAAGTGATTATATGTTCTCTGGTATTTCTTATAAGACTAGGATTGTGCTGTGGGAAATTTTAACACTGCATTTCAGAAAGACAGTTTGAAAAAGCCTCCTCATTTTAAGATACTAACATAAAGATGAAGTTACAGGTTACACTTAGACTATACTAAGGGCACTTAAAATGTAAGCATCCACACATTAAAGTTGGTTAACTGATGCTAAATGCCTTCTGTGGGTCTCAGTGTTATGCCACTTTAAGTGAACATTAACTCTCATCTGTATTACCTATCTTGCATCAGGGTAACTTCAGTCTGCTCCATGGAGATAAAGCAAGCAATTTGCAGTCCTCCAGCATCCCAGGATGCACCCCTCCCCGCCTCCCCTCTTCCCCCTCAAGCAGGGACACAGCCCAGGTGACCTGGCTCCTAGCTGTGCCCCTGCTTGCCAGCCCAGTGGCAAGGCACAGCAGTACAGGCAAGAAACAATATTAATCTTTAACATGAGACTGCTCACAGCACATCATAGGCAATGCTTGGGGGGGGCACAGGGGGGACATGTGCCGGCCTTGAGTTTGGCCCTAGCTGGCCAGGGTGTGGGGGACAATAGCTGGTGCCCCCCCGGGAATGTGGGGGTGCTGAGAGAAGCACCAGCAGCAGTTCTGGGTTTGCCACCGGCACTTCTGGTTTGCCGCTGGCACTTCCACCGGCAGGGATGATTGGCTGCTGTGGGGACTTCCCCTCCCTCCCCCAGCTGGCGATTGACTCCTGGTGCCCCCCCAGGATCAGGAGGCACCAGTCACCCATGAAGCACATTCGAACTTTAACACCACTTAACATTCCACAGATTTAGCATTGTCTAAGTGTAACATGTAACCTCACCCCAAAACACTGAACTCTCATTACCTGAGTTGTTAATTTTCAGTGGAGGTGTTACTCAGCAGCTCTGCACTGGTGCCCTAGTTGTCCCATCTTAGTCACCCTACTGTTCATTAATGTGGCAACTAGGGAATGTCTTTAATAATATTGAAAACAAAGTTTTAAATGATTGATTTATTGACAATTTATTCATGGTGAAAATGCTACTCTGCATTTTTCAGCTTGTGCATAAACAAGACTTGTACATTTTTTATTACTTATTACTGTATATTCTCATATACAATATGCACTTTCCCCCAAAATTCAGCTGCTGGAAATTAAGGTGTGCAGAAAAAATGTATAAGTGAAGAAATATGGTAATAAGCAGTTTCTGCTTCTATCTGGGAAACTGAAAATAATACTGTATTTGCTGCTCCTCAGGTTGCTGTCTGTGAATATGCTTCTATCCCTGCTGCCTCCTCCATCAGAGGCTTTTGTTGTAGAAGCTATTACTCAGTTACTTACTGTTACTTACCAGCATTTTAAGGAGACAATATTTTTTCTTCATTTCGCATTTAAAAAAATCTGGGTTCATAGCTTATTTGGGACAGTATTACACGAAAATGAGGGCAATTCCACATGATTTAATGTAACATTCCAACTTTAAAAGAGCTGGCTTCAAAATTGATACTTTTGTCCTTTGAGTGATATTTTACATATCTGCTTGATTAATTCAGCACTGTAGCACAAGGTGGGCAGATCTCCTACCCATGAAAGGGCAGTAGCATTGGTAGCCACACAAGTACAACTGACATATATGCAGAGTTTAGATTTTATTTCCACCTGTGTAATAGGGGTGTGTGAAGCAGGCTCTATTCGATTCTGATTCGGCCCAAATCAGGGACTGTGATTCGATCAGTTGATTCAGCTCACTGTCCCTGATTCTATTTATCTGAATCTGAAGATTTGATTCTGATTCAGAATCAGTGATTCAGACATAGATACAGCTTTAAAAGTGTTTTCTACATACGTCAAGGTACTAGGCATGGCTTGTGATCGCTGCAATGCTGGGGCACATGAAGCATCCTACAGAAGTGTGGGGGGGCCCTCCACATGCTCAGTGGTGAACCCGGAAGTGGACCAGAAGTACTTCTGGTCCACTTCCAGGTCCACCAGAGAGCATGCTGGGGTGCCCCCCACACCACCCAGTTCATCAATTGGCCTCAGGGGGACCCTCGGTTCCCCCCCCCAGACCCAGGAGGCACTAGTCACCAAGCCATGGGGGCACAGGGACCCCCCAGTGTGCTCCTCAGTGGACCCAGAAGTGGACCAGAAGTGCAGAGTGTGCTGGAGAGCCCCTGTGCTTCTGTGGGACACTCCATATGCCCCAGCATCACAGCACCCATGAGCTCTTGCTACCTAGAGGTATGTAGAAAAAAAATTTAAAGCTGTCCCTATGTCCGAATCTCCAAATCTTTCTGAATCGATTCGGAGGGCTTCGATTTGATTCAGAGGGGTTAAAGGCTCCTCTGATTCGGTCTGGATTTGGAGATTCAGTCACCGAATTGGGCTGAATCTATGCTGAATTGAATCAGGGACTGAAGGTTCGTACAGCCCTACTGTGTAAGCCTTATGAACATGCCTAGAAGGTCCACTATTGCTGTGCAGACTCTGGGGTGACAAAAAGATTTGGCTAGGCATGTGCCATCATGTAAGTCCTAAAACTTTAGTTGGAAAAAACCCCCCACAACTATCAACTGTTTGGATGAGAAAAAAGGCCCTTCTACCTTTTAGCTTAATAGATCAGTAGTTAGGGCACTTGCCCAGGAAGTGAGAGCCCTTAGTTCTGGGCCCATCCTTCTCTAGAAGGGGTTTCAATTTGCATCTCTCAATTCCCACCTAAGTGCTTTAACCTGCAAGTCATGGGCTAGGTGTTGCCTGGAGCACCCTCCAACCTTGTTGGCTCACTGGGCAGCCGGGAAAATATGTGAGCCTGGGGAGAAGAATAAGTCAGAGGGAGTATGTGACTCAGAGATGCTAAAAGCACAGTAGACTAATTCTACTGTGCATTAGTGTGTCACAGTGAGAGTGCTAATGCACAGTAGACTTATTCTCCTGTGCATTAGTATCACTTAAAAGACGTGTGCTGGTGCTACAATGCACTAGTGCCAATTAAGTTACTACTGGTTATTACAGGTACTAAACTTAATGTGCCGTAATTACTGTGCATTAATGCATGAGTAGACATATCCAGTGAGAGGGATAATGCCCAGAAAGGAGGGGGCCCTAGGCGCTGGACTCAATTCCTATTGTACACTGCCTTTAATATTAATTGGATAAACTGAGAAACAGCAATGGGATAGTTTCTGTCACATTGGGTATAGGGCCCAAGGCCAAAATTGAAGACCCTCTCCTTTCCAGGAAACATCCTGTTACTGAATCACACACTCCCTGTGGCTATTCTCCTATGGAAGTGCCACTTAGGTACAGAAGGGTGAAACGGCTCACTCCTAGAATGTTACTGCCTACCTTGGAACCCACATAGGAAAGTCAGTTTAACGATTTGGGCAGAGTCTGAAAGGAGCTGAAGCAGGTGGGAGATATATTAAACCTATGCTTTTCCTGAGTACTCTCCAACCTTGGCTTTAGCTTTGTTCTCTCTTTCTGGGTTGCACAGGCTAAACTGAGGTCACAAAATGGAGTGCAGGGGATATATAGAGAATATTTTCACTGCTGATTTATTCCCTCTGACAGACTGACTTGTTACTGGAAGCCACTTCCTACAACTTTGATGAACAGAAGCCATAGAGTATATGAGGCTTAAAAGCTTATGATTGCCACAAAATAAGTATGACATTTTTTTGTCAATTTGTTAATTTTCAAAAAGCAGTAGCTACAACTTACAATATACATGTATTTGTAATTTAATTATTAATGTGTCTAGATGGGTCCGAGCTACAAATCTGCATCTAGGTTTCTGACAACAGTAAAAATTTGTGATGGTCTTGATTTGGGGTTTTGGTTTGACTCTTAATAGAGTTATGTGCTATGTGTGAAATTTGCTTCTAGATTTAGGAATTCATTTTAATCTTGCCCTCAAAGTTGTCATATTTTCAGATTTGGAGTTTCAATTCATAGCCCTTCTTTGGCAATGAAAAGAAACTCCTATATAAACCAAAATATATGAGAATCATCAAACTGACAGGACAATCTGATATAAGTACTATGTCTTGACTCTGAAGTAAAACCAGCTGTTTGGCATCATCATTATAACTATACTCACTTTTTCATTGTAGATATCTCCAAGGAATACACATGCATCCACAAGGCTGCAGCTTAGATGAGCACTCTTGGCAACCTTCACAAACTCTTCCAAGTACTTAATAGCCTCAGTCACTTTTCCCTGGCTAAAACAAATTACAATTCTAATTAAACTTTTATTGAGATGGTTTCTTTACATACAGCAACAGACTACAGTTGAGTATCTATCCCTGTGTCTCATGTGAGTCTTATTTTGCAATGGTCCATAGAAATGAATTTACTAATTTGCTTTGGGATGAAATTTGAAATCCAATTCTGTTTTCATCTGCATAGATGTTGCTTCTCTTATACTTAGTGACCACTAAGGGAAAAATTAGGCCATTTGGCTTTGCCATAAATTTGTAGAATATTGTATTATTTTTCAGTACCAAAAGTGAAAAAGAGATGATTACTTCACATGGGTTTTCTAAGATTCCCTCACTCTTAAAGTGATGTTTTATTTAATCAGTACTTGATCACACATTTTTGTACACAAGCTAGACCCAAACCTAGCAACCAATTCAGGGCAGGGGATGATGTTTGCTCTTAGGTTTTTCTGTTTCTGTTCTTAATGAGAATCACTTTCTACATTAGAATCCTTTCCTCTCTTGAATATCAGCAACAATATAATGGCAGTAACTCTAAAGTCGTGTATGCTGATAACCTCCCTTAGAATGTAATGCTGCACTTCGGCTGGGTAGACCACAGGCTGCAGCAGTCATATAGCCTACTCTATAAACTGTGGCTTGCAGGTGTCACCTAGAAATCCCAATGAGATCTAAACAACCTGAGGTCACTTCTGAATCTAGGTTGAAAAGTGGCTAATGTACTCTGACAATAACATTTGCACATATTTTTTAATAAAACTGGTCATATTAACAATATAGCAGCTCTGCACTATGGTTACAAGATATGAATCAGCTGCTTGGGTTTGCTAGTGAGTGAGGCACTGCACTCTTTTTCTCTTTAAGGCTGTGAGTGTCACTGCAGCTGACCTCAATATTAACCGTGAACCTGTGTCTCTACTGTAGAAGTATGTTAAATGTCAAGCCAATAAGCCAGCCAAAAAAAAAAAAGAAAAAAAAATGCCAGGCTTAATTTAGAAATGCACAGAAACAGTTTTTATAAGTGAGGAATAACAGTTATTTATTTTCATGCTTTTTTAAAACACCTTTAAATTACATTCCACCTGCAAATGACTGACTGAGCCTTATTTAAATTACAGCTTTTAATATAAAACATATTAGAGATACATGTTTCCAGAATTTGGCAGGGCTAAGCCTGCCAGAATTCCTTAATTGGCTTATGAAAAAAAAGAGTATTCAGACTAGAGAAGCTGCTGCCACTGAGCAGGAAAAACAGTGAAGTCTCAGCACAAATCTACAGTATTGTGGTGGCCACTTATCTGTTTGGAGTTAGCTGCATTCTTCCAGTAGGCTGCCAAAATACCCCAAAATTGACACAGTGTTTAAAGTGTCCAAAGCTGTCACAGACACACATTTTTAAATGACTGCTATTCTACTTATTAACATTAGTTATTTAAATAGCACAAGATCTGAAATATATTGATTGCACTGTTAGCAACTGCCAAATATCAAAGGGCTTCTAAATTTTAGAATCAGAAGCGCAATTTTTGGAAATCTATCTTTCTTCCAAAAGGGAGAAAAATCAAATATTTCCCCACAGAAGCATAGAACATGATTTATATAAGTTAAAATACAAGGTTAAAGTGTTAGACAAATATTAATTCCAGTTTTTCTAGTTTTCTATATGCAGTGCACAGGTGCAACTTGAACAGCATATTATATGGTATAATCATTAAATCCATTCAACCAGACCTTAGAGAGTTAAAAACATATATTCTGTGGAAAAGGACTCCTCGGTCCAAAGAATGAGAATGAAACAGTGCAGAATATTTGTGTATCAAGGTGATTCCAGTTTCCAACTGGGAAAACAGGACTGTTAACACCCACATCCCTTGACAACTGTCCAATTATGTATATCACACTTGGCCTACTGTTTGCAGTAGAAGTAATCAATAAAGGATGTGGTTGAGTGAACATAGATTTTGGTTGAACCAATGCATGAAAACTTAATCATTTACTCAGAGTGGAGAAATCAAATAGAGCAGAGATGAAACAGCCACTAAGGGGTTTGTTGATTGTGCCACCAAGTTTGTGGGCTGGAGGCTGAAAGTAATAAGGCAAATGGAATCAGTGACAGGAGAAAATGTAAAAAGGTTTTCTTAATTTCATGAATTAATAGAAATGTTTTGATGTATTTTTTGGTCATTTTTGGATATATTACATCAAAGACCTTATGTACCATTTATAGAAATTATGGAAATTACTAGGGCATATCATCTCTCTCAAGCAAACAGAAATTAATTTGATTTATAACAAAAAGATAATTCTTACAGTTTGATTTTTATATATGCCAATCAGCAAAGAGTTCTGCTATCAGATGGTAGCATGGTCTTCCAAAGAAAATCACGGAAATATTGTATCTTGAGACATTTACAGTAGCCCAGACAAAGTACTAAAACATATTCTATAGGGAACAATAGACAAGGAAGCACACTCAACTTTGGGTTCAAGAAGCCTTCTGTGGCACAGAACATTTAAAATGAGATGACCTAGTCTATGCTGCACGAGGTATAAACACATTTGAGGAAACAATCTGAGTTTGAAGTCTGGAGATTACCATGGGTAATTGATTGGTCAAGCCTTCACTACCTCATCCAACATATTCTGAGTGGGTCATTCAGACACGGATGTTTGCCACAGGCCAGAACAATGTGCATTCCAAACTGTGTGAGAGAGGGAACAGGGACTGATGTTTAGCAAATGTCTGTTTTAACATTGGGAAAAGGATTATTTTATACTTGTCTTCCATTTCCTCTGATCCTCACAGTACTTACTGGACCAAGGTGATCTTATTTATGAACAGATCTACTTATTAGAGCTTTTGGCTTTCCCTCTGAACAAACCTCTCTCAAACCTCTGAACACTTGACAATGCAGCTATTAGATTTCTAAGATTAAGTTGTCTTGTAGTCATCTGTTTGACTCTAGAAAGCCGTCCACTTGGGGAGGGGGTTACGTGGCAAAATGTAACTGGTATAAAGACTCATTTAAGAATGAGACCACAATCTATTTCCATGTTCCTTTCCAGTTATCTTAAAATTTCTCTAGTTTCTGATGGGACAAGGATTTCTTAGGATGATCCATCCGGGATTCTTTTTATCCTTGGGATTTTAATATGATGCTAACCACATTTATAGAAGGGTCCTCTGAAGCTAATGGGACCTCATTGTCTGTACCTCCCTTATGCATTTTTTCTTAGTGACCATTACTTTTTGAGGTAATATTCTCAGAAGGTGGCAGAACTGCAAGGACTGATAAGCAGGAGTGGTGTGAGAAGTGTGCTGTATTTGATTCAGATTCGAATTTAGCCTGATTCAGGGGACAGTGATTTGATTAGTTGATTTGGATTACTGCCCCAATTTGATTAGACTGAATCTGAAGATTCAATGCTGATTCAGAGAATCAGGGTTTCAACCATAGACATAGCTTTAAATGTTTTTTCTACATACCTCAAGGTACCAGGTGCATCTCATGAATGCTGAGATGGTGGAGCAGATGGAGTGGTCCATAGGAACGTGGGTGGCCCCCCCGCATGCTGCCAGGGGACCCTGGCTTTCTCCCCAAACCCAGAAGGCACTAGTCATGGACCTGAGGGTGGGGGGGGGG